ATCGTATTCGGGTGTCAATTTCGGTTGATAGGCCGTTGAGGAGGAGGATGAGGTTGATGAAAAGAGACGGGACTACAACATGGGTTAATTTCAGGTATGAACGGCTGCATAAGTTTTGCTACTTTTGTGGTTATATGGGTCACTTGCATACTTTCTGCTTACAAGCTAGGGAAGCGGGAATTCCAGTGGAAAGGTACCTGTACGGTCCGGATATGCGGGCTGGTGGGTCCTGGAGCGCTCCTAGAGTGGTTGGGGATAGCTGGCTCGTGCCGGTAGGCGGGAAACCACGTCCATTGGTAGTAAAACCACGGTTGTTTGACGTAGTAGATGGGAGTCGGGGAGGTGGGGGAGTCACACCCACGAGTATGTCTGAGGATGAGGTGATTGTGGCTACGGCAAAGCGTCGTAGGCATGGTACGGGGACCGGAGAGGAAGGTGGGAATGATGAGGTAACGAACACTGATGTTTCAAAAAACTTGTCCATGGCGGGAGTTGGTGTCCAGCCCCGCCCATCATCATGAGTACGATAAGCTGGAACTGTCGTGGCTTGGGCAATCCATGCACAGTTCGAGAAGTAGTGGACCTGGTGTCCCGTAAGAAGCCAGAGTTTGTGTTCTTGATGGAAACCAAGGTGGAACGGAGTCATGCGGAAAGAGACCGTGTCAGGCTTGGTTATGATGGTTTGTTTTATGTGAATAATGAAGGATTGAGTGGGGGTATGACACTCCTTTGGAAGAAGAACAACACGGCTAGATTGTTGAGTTACTCGCTCAACCATATTGATATTGAGGTTAGTATGAATGGTAAGTTATGGCGTATGTCATGTTTATATGGATGTCCGGATCGAAATAGGAGAGATGAAACCTGGGAGCTGCTGCGTATGTTGAGGAATAAATCTGAATTACCCTGGGTGGTGATAGGGGATTGTAATAATCTTCTCTATCAACATGAAAAGAGGGGAGGAAATCCATACCCGAATAGGCTCTTACGAGGGTTTGGGGAAACCATTGATGTGTGTGGGTTGGTGCAGATGTCGATGCGGGGCCGCCAATACACATGGGATAAGAGTAAAGGAACGGTGAATTGGATACAGGAGAGGCTAGATAAGGTGCTTATTACGGATGAGTGGGGTGGTATGAATGAGAATGCATGGGTGGAGAATCTCCAAACTAGAGAATCAGATCACTCGGCTCTGTTCCTCAATATAAATGCTCTCAGCATGCGTAGAGTAAGAGGACCGAGGAGGTTTAGATTTGAAAATGCATGGTTATTGGATGAGGGGTGCAAGGAGGTGGTGGAGACAGCCTGGCAGGAGGGGAGGCCGGATGGCTTGTTGCACTGTCATCAGTTTTGTGGTATGAAGTTGATGCGATGGGGGGGGGGGGGGGGGGGGGGGGGGGGGGGGGAGGGGGGACCAATTCCATAGGTTTGGTCACCGAATAGGGCAGTTGCGGAAGCAGCAAGAGAAGTTCTGTGATGTAACGAATCCGGTCGCTTTGGCCGAATTCCAGCAGAATGAGAATCAGTTAAAGCAATTGGAGGCCCAGGAGGATGTGTTTTGGAGGCAGCGGGTGAAACAACACTGGCTCCGGGGTGCAGATGCTAACACCAAGTTCTATCACAGGTATGCTTCTGCCCGTAAAAAGAAGAATTTTATTGCTAGTATTAAGAATGAGGGTGGGGATTGGGTGGAGGATACAAATATGCATTCGGTCATTATGGATTATTTTAAGAAAATATTTGCTTCCAATAATTTGAGACTGATTATCAGAACGCAGGTGGCAATCTGTCTCGCGGTAGTGCAGGCAAGTAATTTTGGGAAATATCTAGGCCTCCCATCGTTTGTGGGCAGAAATAAAAGAGCAGTTTTTTCCTATGTGGAGGAAAAGATCAGGCAGAGGATTGGTTCGTGGAGCACAAAGTTATTATCTCATGCTGGTAAGGAAGTTTTATTGAAGAGTGTGGCTCAATCTATGCCAACTTTTTCAATGAGTGTTTTTTTGTTACCTGAAACACTTTGTCAATCAATTGAGAGAGCCATGAATAGATACTGGTGGGGAAGTGGCAGGGATAAGGGAATTCACTGGAAGGCATGGGATAAGTTATGTATCCCCAAGAAGTTTGGTGGTTTGGGTTTCAAGGAGTTGAGAGCTTTCAATCTAGCTATGCTGGGCAAGCAGGCATGGCGATTTTTGACAAACCCAGAGTCTCTGGTGGCAAGAATATATAAAGCCAGGTATTACCCCACTTCTAGTTTTGTTGATGCTACTATTAGTAATTGCACAAGTTTTTGTTGGAGAAGTATAATGACAGCACATCCAATAGTGGTAGCTGGGATAAGACGCAGGATTGGAAATGGTGAGACAACTCTTATTTGGGGGCACCCATGGCTCCAGGATAATCCAAGTCCCTTGGTACAAACAATTATGCCTGAGGAGTTAAGAGAGGCACGAGTGGCAGGTTTGATTGACCCACAAATACAAACATGGGATCCACATATTTTATCTGATTTATTTATCCGTGAGGATGTGAGCAGAATAGTTATGATTCCTGTTAGCCCTGATTATGATGACTCATGGTACTGGATAGGTGATCCAAAAGGTATTTATTCCGTAAAGAATGCTTACAGGCGTATTGTTGGTGATTATGAGAATAACCCAGGTGATTTTGATAAATAGGTTAAGATGTGGAAATTGAAAGTACCACCAAAATGGAAGACTTTTTTATGGAGAGCAGTATGTGATATTTTACCCACTACCACGAATCTAATTGAAAAGAGGGTGAAGATTGACCCGGCTTGTCCTATGTGCAGATTAAATAATGAAGATGTGTTGCATGCATTAGTTTATTGTGAATATTCTGCATTAGTTTGGAATATAACACAATTACCTATCACGAACATTATTACAGATTCGTTTGCAGCATGGTTAGCTGGGGCTATGGCGATTCTAACCGAGGAACAAACACAGCTTTTGGTGGGAGTTCTATACAATATTTGGAGAAGCCGCAATGGCGCCGTGTGGGAAGGGGCCATGTCACGGCCGCAGACTGTTATGAAGGGGGCGGCATCATTGCTGAAAGCTTATGGTGCAGTACACGGCCGGGCCACGCGAGAAGATTTACAGCCACGATCCGAACCGGTATTGCCCGACAATCACATGCGATGCTATATAGATGCGGGGTATCGGCAGGAAACTGGGGAGGCTACGTATGGAGTTGTGTTATTAGAGCCCGGTGGCTCGTTTGTGGCAGCAAAGAATGGTAGTTCACCCGTTTGTTTTTCACCACTCATGGCGGAGGCTATGGCTTTTAAAGAGGCACTGTCCTGGTTAGCTGAAAGGAATATTAATTCGGCCAGTGTGCTCACGGATTGTATGGTTCGGCGATCCACCATACACCACCAAATTACACCCATTCACTCGTATGCTGGGTTGATAACTGACCAGTGCAAGACAATAATGTCTTTATTTAATTTTATTTCGTTAAGCTATGTGCCTAGACAGTTTAATTTACATGCTCATACTTTAGCTTCGTTAGCTTTTACTCAGGAACATTCTATGTATTGGGATTCTATCCCTCCTGACGCTATTATAGCTTTCATCAATTAATACAATCGACAGATTGGTTTTCAAAAAATACTCCCTTTCTTTACTTTACATGTCATGGTAATCAATTAAGTTCAAAATGAAAAAAAAAATGACAAAGTAAAATAACTGCTCTCTATTTCTATTTCTTTTTATTTTATTTTATTAGAAAACAAATTATATGCGCAAAAAGGTGTTCGAGAAGTGATTATAAGTTTTATTTGATGACACTAAATTAATTAATAAGAAATTATTAAATAAGCAAATTAAGAAAGTGGTATATATACACACACACATTAATTTTGGAATTAAGACTTTTGATAAGTTTGGTTTTGATAATTTTTCATTATTTATATTTTGAAAATTTCTCATGGCAAAAGGATTGAGGTCCATTATAGGTGTAAAAGTAAAAATATTTTTTTTGCACGATATATTATATTTATTAATATACTTTTATTTCATTTTTGACTAAATATGAATTATTAACTCATTAAATATATTAAAAAATATTTTGTAATAAGATCTATCTTTTTATTTTCTAATATTCATTTCGCTCTAGGATAAAACTAATTAATTATAATATTTGAACAAAGTTAATTCCATGAATAGTCCCATCATTATTGATATTTATCAATTTTTATCATTCAATTTTTAATTGGACCATAAATGGTTCCGTGACTATTGACCTTTACCAATTTTTGTCATTGACTTTCAATTTAATCATAAATGGACCATTGACTATTAATTTTGTTCCAATAAGCTGATTTTAGTAGCTACTTGCTTATTTTGAAACATTACTTAAGATAGCTTTCAAAATAAACTATTACTTAAAGCTCATTATGTTTTACCAAATAAAACTTTTTGTAACTTAAAATAAACTATAAGCTTTAAAAAAAAAGAACTACAAAACAAAGCCATAGTATATTTACTGAATAGAACTGTTCTTAATGCTTTATTTTAATTTTATAGTGACATTAACATATGGGATTACTACAACTGTAAGCAGATGCTTAGATCAAATTGTCACTTTTTTTTTTTAATCCTCAAATTACTTTAAAAATTCGAAAAAAAAAAGAAGAAGAAGAAGAAGAAGAGATCCTAAAAAATATAATAAAATTTTTTTACATTACTCAAGGGATCTCACATTCTTAGAAACGGGAAAAATAATCCTTCTGAGTTGCTAGAGTTTGCAAAAACTGAGATCCTAAAAATTGTAACGGAAATTTTCAAGTGTCAAGAATACCAAATAATTACTCAAGACTTCTCAATGGCAGCATATTTTGTCACAAGAAGGTTAAACTCAATAGCCTATGCTTCACTGCTTTGCTTTGCTTTTTCTTACATGTAAATAGGTGATTGGGAATTAGACATAATTATCACAAACCTCATTGGAAGATTTGACCAAATTAATGAGCAGAGGTTGTTTGTAATGGTATATTCTCACAACTATGTATGATGCAAATTCAGAGCCTGATAAGCTGATTTACTATGTTTAATATAAAAATGAGCAATTAAATCCTGGAAACAAGGAAAAATGAAAGCTGGTAGTTGAGAAATACAGAAAGAGAAAATTAGACTTTCTACAACTGTATGCCACAAGACACAGTTTTAGTTTTAGTAATCATAAAATATATATAATAGTACAGTCACCACATCACTGACCTGGGATAAAACCTTCCTCACTTGGCATTTCTTACAGGTGCAACTCCTCATTAGCTTTCCTCAGGAATTCATCCCAACCACTTCCTGGACTGGTATCTAAGTAATCTCGAGGAACTGCAGTCTTCAAACCAGGTCGAACTCCACATTGGTTCTCTACAATTCTAAAATCCAATTCATTTCCCCCTTCTTCCAATTCTTCCCAAGAAAAGAGCAGCGGCAAGGTAAAAGCACCCCATGGGTTAAAATCTAAAAGCTTGATCCGGTGATCCAGTGTAACATAAATATCAAATGTGTAACTCTTTGACTCAAATTTGCCCTTCACCTTAGCAGAGAAAAAACTTTGGATAGCTGTTTTCAGCTCATACTTCCGCTCAATGAGAGAAGGATAAAATCCAGTGACCTCACGTTGGGAAACCCCTACCAGAACCATATTTCGCACAAAGCAACGGAACTCCATCTCTGGATGCAAGGAAGGGTACCATTTGCGAAGAGCAAGAACAAACTTAGGAGGCCTAGAAATAGTCTTATTGCTGCACGAATCATATGCATGACAAAGATCATGGACTACGGAATCTGATGATTTGAATAAAAGTGCAATCTCACTGAAAGATGTGCACTTGAGGTTCCCCGTAGAACTAATCCAAGCAGAATCTTTAGGTGAACTCCAATTAAGCTTAGGGAAGGCAGAACCCCCCAGAGATTGAATTGATTCCTTAACCTTCATCTCGAGTTCAGGGAATGAAGGGGGTGTTGGAGGTATTTCTGATTCATCTTCAGATCCTCCAGTAACTTCACAGTCCTCTTCATCTTCAGGTTTATGGATTCTATTTGGAAGGGCATCATTATCTTCTATGGAGAGGGGGAGAAGAAAGGGGCCATTATCATCAAGAAGGTACTCTATAAATGATTCTGGAAGATCAAGGATTTCAGTTTTTATGGAGTCAGATTTGAATTTTGGGTACCACTCTTGGATCTGACATCTATTAACTTCCACTTCCTCCATTTTCTGCTAAGATATGAATGAACACATTATAAATTACCAATTAAATTACATTATAAATATCAAAATTTAATATCAATCACATACTAGCACACATTATAAATTTATCAATTCACAAGTCACAAATCATTATTATCACAATTATGATAAATGGTGACAATTTTGGGATTTACATTTCACAAACCAAAATCAAAATCCACTGTCTACTGATCACAATGGACAACTATGATATTCAAAATTAACAAGTTCGCAATCAATCAATTATTATAAATTTATAACAAAATCTCATAGAATATTGAGGGGCTTAGGGTTTGAAGTTCGGACCAGTCACCGAAGAAGAGTGAGATGCAACTGCGGCCGGACGAAGTCGTCGACGACGGAGAGCTTGCTGACGGCGGAGGCGCGGAGCTGCTGCTACCTACGGACTTCGCTGAAGGCGTGAACGGCGGCGAACTGAAAGGTGCACGGCTGCTTGCTGTGGCGAACTGGCGTGAAGGGACGCACGGCTGAAGGTCTGATTATGTGAATGCCGAAGGGTTCGCTTATAAGCTTATTTGGGGTTTTCGCAAATTTGACACCCAAACTTTTTAAAGAGTTTTAGTTAGTACCCTAAGGTTTTTTTAATTGGTGACTAAGTATGCACATAATGTATGTAAAAATTAATGTGTTACCTATCAAAAGTTTTAATTTGTAAACTCAATATCAAATTATTAAAGATTTAAATTATTAATTGATAAATTTTAAATAAGTGTACACAAAATTTCAATTCTATAAATTTAGTGTAAAATTATTCAAATATTGTTTTTTGTTTTTGTTTTTGTTTTTTTTTTTTTTTGTTTTTTTTTTTGTTTGGAGAGGAACAAATATTGTTAACTATATATATATATATATATATATATATATATATATATATATACACACACACACACACACACACACACACACACACTAGCACTTTGTACGCGTGATGCGCGAAAATTTATGCTCAATATTAAAATATTGATAAATATAAATAATTAAAAATTATAATTTGAATTATATATACACAAATAATATATGTATTTTGTACACATATATAATTTATCATTCATAAAAATTTAATTAAAATATAATTAAGTATTAAATTAATATATAATAATTTAAAAAAATGAAAATTAAAAAAATAGGAAAAAGATATGATAGATATAAGTGTATGGTAATAATGATGTGTTATCAATGTTAGAATTAAAAACTAACGGTGTAAGGGTAGTTTTGTCTAATAACATTGAAATGTACAACATTTAAAGTAAAATGTATACATTTATTTGCATATAAAAAGAGGGACATAAATCAAACGGGGGAGAAAGTGTAGAGTTGCAAGGGGATGGTGATAAGGAACAACTTGAAGATGGTCCAAGTGAAGAAGAGCTCAAGAATGATGAAATTTGTGGTACAAATGAGGAATGCCCTTCATTGGATTACACTCTCATTAATAAGGACTTTAGAATAACTTGGGAACCGGGAGGTGTCAATATTTTTTAAAGTGGAGGCCCGCATTGGCCAATTTTCATGTCCAAAGATTCTTCATTGTTATTGGTTCATGAAGAGGATCCAAGATTCCCCTTACTTGCCAATGAAAAGGAAAATGAAGATGAGAAAAGAAGTGGAGATCAAGAATACTATCTAGATCCAAAGTTTTAAAAAAATTACTTGTTTGCATGGTTGCAGTAGGCGCTAGGCGCTAGTCGGGCGCCCGGACAACGCCTAGCGCCTACGCGGTCTAGGCGGCGCCTAGGCGGAATCTAGGCGGCGCTATGCGGGTGAAATAAAATTTGACCTTGATTTTTGTTTATCACTTTATTATCATAGCGTATGACAACAATACGGATATCCACCCCGTGTGGGTCGGTTTTTTTTTGGGTGGTAGTGGGTGATGGATCGGGTGTGGGTCTTAAAAAAAGTAAACCCGCGGTGGGTCGGGTTGGATTCGGGTTCTATGTACAAAACCCGCCTAGAACTCCACTCGACCCACCATGTAGTTATTTATAAGAGTTTCGTAAATTTTTACTATTTTTATATCTAAACTACTAAGTTTATTTTTAAAAATTAACAATTTAGTTATTATATTTAAATATTTCTATTATTTTATATGTTAATATAACTAATAAAATTTATCATTTTATTATGTGTAAGTAATTTAAATATTATTTTTTTTTAAAAAAATAAGATTATAAGTAGTGGGTACCCGTAGTGGGCACTCGCACCAGGTGGGAGTCGGGGTGGGTTTTGAAAAAGTCCACCCGATGCGGGTTGGAGGTGGGGGAGGGTGGAGAAAATATCAGGTGGGTCTGGTGATGGATGTAGTCCTCCCCGACCCACACCCGACCCATTGCCATCCCTACTCTAGACTCCAGATGTTTATGATCTATTTGACCATGACAGTATGAAGGAAATGTGTTTTGTACAATTTCTTTTATAGGGTCACCTTCATTTTTCAGAACAAATTGATCAAGAATCGTTATATTGAAGACACCATCCTTGTCCTCTCCTAGATTTCCATCTCCTAGATCAGCAATCCATTTCGCAAAACTGTTAAACTTTTAACCTCTTCTGCACTGGAAAGACCACGCAAGCGCAAATTCATTGTTAAACGGAGGACTTCACATTTATCCCACAAGAATGATGAGTTAATACTTGCATGTACAATATCTTGTCTTGTGCCTTTTGGGATAACTGGTAATATATGTCTAAAATCACCGCCTAGTACAACTGTTTTTCCACCAAATGACATTTCTAAACTTCTTGGATTTGCGAAACACATGAAGGAAATATGCGTAGGCCAAAGCGAGTGGCAACACTTGGGGAATGCAATGCACGACATTCTGAACCATCCACAAGGTCTATAGTATATCACCATTATATTCATGGATGCATCAACGTTGGAAGATGATCTCATTAATTGAGGTTTTTGATGTAGTCATCCAGAAGAGAGCTGCTACTATTCCCAAGTGTTGCCCCCTCGCTTTGGCCTCCCATTATCTTGCGATAATCTTTTCTCCTTCCTCCTTCCATGACTCTTTCATGAATGCATAACATTCGTTAAAGAAATGCGCAACATACTATATAAGAATGCATGATTTTTTGCATAACAATGCACAACACTTTGTCTAGTAATGCACGAACAATGCACGACATTCCGAACCATCCACAAGGTCTATAGTATATCACCATTATATTCATGGATGCATCAAAGTTGGAAGATGAATCTCATTAATTCAAGTTTTTGATATAGTCATCCAGAAGATAGCTACTACTCTTCCCTAAGTATTGCCACTCGCTTTGGCCTACGCGTACCTTGCGATAATCTTCTCACATTCCTCCTTACATGACTCTTTCATGGATAGCATTCGTGAAAGGGATTAGCAACATACTTTATAAAAATGCATGAACAAAGCAATATAATTGCACGATATTTTGTATAACAATGCACGACATTCTCTATAGCAATGCACGACACTCTGAACCATCCACAAGGTCAAGATTATATCACCATTATATTCATGGATGCATTAACGTTGGAAGATGAATCTCATTAATTGAGGTTTTTGATATAGTCATCCAGAAGAGAGCTACTACTATTTCTCAAGTATTGCCACCTCGCTTTGGCTTCCTAGTAGCTCGCGATAATCTTTCTTCCCTTCCTCCTTCCATGACTCTTTCATGTATGCATAGCGCCGCACAACATACTGTATAAGAATGCACGATCCAAGAAATATGAATTCACGATATTTTGTATTACAATGCACATTGAATGCACAACACTCTATATAGCAATGCACAACGAATGCATGACATTCTGAACCATCCACATGGTCTAGAGCATATCACCATTATATTCATGGATGCATCAATTTTGGAAGATAAATCTCATGAATTGAGATTTTTAATGTAATTATTCAGAAGAGAGCTACTACTGTTCCACAAGTGTTCCACCTCGCTTTGGCCTCCCAGTACTTTGCGATAATCTTCTCTCCTTCCTCCTCCCATGACTCTTTCATGGATGCACCTCACCGCGCAACATACTGTATAAGGATGCTCGATCAAAGCAATATGAATGCACGATATTTTGTATGACAATGCATGGCAAATGCGCAACACATTGTTTAGCAATGCACGACGAATGCACGACATTCTGAACCATCGACAAGGTCTAGAGTATATCACCATTATATTCATGGATGCATCAAAATTGGAAGATGACCTCATTAATTGCAGTTTTTGATGTAGTCATCAAGAAGTGAGCTACTAGTATTAGACAGTTAGAGTCTTGGGCTTAGTCTTCCTATTCTTCTGCTTATTTCCTTCTTTTACGTGTATCTTCTTGTATATAAGGGTGCTGTGCATCCCTCTCGCAGATATATGAAACTCAGAGTTTAACACTCCAATCTGGTATCAGTTTCTTCCCTCTACAAACACAAAAGCCTTGTTCGATCCCATGGCTTCCAACAACAGTCCATCGCCTAACTCTGATGATGCACCGACGACAGCCTCAGAACGCGCAGTTACTACTGCCGTCGCACCTGAGGTTCCCTCGTCGGCCACTCCCTCCCCCAACATGCTTCACCAAGCCCATCACTATGTCTCGATCAAGCTAACTTCTACGAATTACCTATTCTGGAGAGCTCAGCTTGTACCTTTCTTACGTGGCCAAAATCTATACGGTTTTGTTGACGGAACCACTGCCTGCCCCCCGGAGTTTATTGTTGCGTCCTCTTCCGACGCGCCTCCGGTGCCCAACCCTCAGCGAGCTCAATGGATTCAGCAGGACCAATCCATCTTAAGCATGCTCATCTCCTCCCTCGCTGAAGAAGTTCTCTACCTCTCGATTGGGCACTCCACTTCTCGTGCTGTGTGGATGGCGGCAGAAACTGCACTTGGCTCATCTTCGCGTGCACGTTCGCTGGGGCTTCTGTCACAACTCCATAATCTCCGGCAAGGTGATTCTTCCCCGACTGAATATCTTGGGCGTGCTCAAGTGTTGGTAGAACAACTTCAGCAAGCTGGCCGACCCATTAGCCTCGACGAACAGAATCTCCATCTGTTCAGAGGACTTCGGCCGGAGTACAGAGGCCTTGTTGCCTCTCTGACCACCAAGAGCACTCCGTTAACGATCCCGGAGGTGGCTGATCTCCTCACTACCCACCAGTATCTGTTCCCAGAAGAGGTTCACTCTTCGCTGCCCCAGATGCCGTCCGCTCTCTTCACGCAGCAGCCAGCAGCAACACGCCCTCCAGATGGCAATTGCGGGCGGGGACGCAATGGTAGGGGACAACGGGGAAGAGGGAACCGCGGTCGAGGAGGTGTTTGGTGTCAGATTTGTGACATCCCCGGACATACGGCGTTGACGTGTTACCGGAGGTTCGACGCTGTTGCCAGAAATCGCCAACCGCAGCAGCCTGGTTATCGGTCGCCCTCGCCAAGTGCAAATGTGGCTTATCATCAGCAGCAGGATGATTTTAATTCTG